TGGGGGCCTTTGGCCTCACCCCAGCAGCCACTGCCTGAGCCCCCAGGAAGGGGAGCCGCCCGTGTATTACCTTGCTTCGGAATTGATCGTTCCAGTCTCCCGGGACACAGTGTGACCTCACTGCCCGAGCCCAGCCACGCCATCAGCTGAACACAGGTTCCCGGATGGAACAGCCTTAGCTGGAAAAGTCAGGCCCGGATGGGCTCTGAGCACCTCTCTCCTGCCACGGATCCAGTTCCCAAAACGGCCTGAGCTCTGCATGGCACCCAGCAGAGACCTGCAGCCATCCCACCAGGGACAGCTCCAGGACACTCCAGAGAAGGCCCCAGGGACTCACAGAGGAGTCGACGGAGAAAGCAAGTTTCTCTGCCATGCTAGTCTCCCCCCCATCCCGGGGGAGAGGGCCTGAGGTCATTTCCTGCTGCCTCTGCTCAGGACAACATGAATCATTAGGCTGGATATTAGCAGAAACTTTCTAACTAAGGGCAGCGACGCTCTGGAACAGCCTTCCATGGGCTGGTTTCTAAGAGCAGGCTGGACAAACAGCTGTCAGGGACAGGCTAGGTTCACTTGGCCCTGCCTCAGCGCAGGGGGCTGGGCTAGATGTCCTCTCCAGGTCCCTTCCAGGCTGACAGTTCTAGGGATCTCTTTAAAGAGGGAACGCCAGTTCCCTCAGGGTTTCTTGGCTCCCTGCCTTGGAGGCAGCAGAGGTGTTTGTGGGATCTTCCCAGCTGCTCCAACCCCTTGCTCTGAAGTTCCTGCAGTTCTTGTCCTCTGGAACGGAGCGGATCAGGGATACAGCACATGAGGGCAGTGGCTGTGAGTCAGCTGGAGAGGCCCTCTGAGGAGTGCTGGGCTCTGGAACTAGAAGGGACTGGTAAGTGCCTGGAGAAGTGCCCAATACAACGGGCAGACTGCAGTGTGGGGAAGGGTCCTAGCAAGCCGTAGCTGGAGAAGGCTGTATTGTCACTGGAGACCCTGGAGGCTGTTTGGGTCCCACGTCACCTTCACTGGTTAGCAGGTCTGACAGACCCTCACTCATCATTCCACAACTACAGCCAACATCCCTGAGCAGGGCCTGGATTCCGCACACGCTGCTCAGGGAGGGCCGATGAAAACTGCTCCACGGTCCCACCCGTCTGACCCCTTAAGAGGAGATGTCGACTTCCCTTACCTGGTACAGGAATCTTTGGCTGAACTGCTGCATGGCCCCTTGGAGCTGGTTTCGCTGCGTCTGCCACTGCTCGTAGTTCCTCACATACTCCGCTGTGGGACGCTGCCAAGTGGTGGTCCTGGTGTTGTGATCCACATAGTAATACCTGCCCCGGGGGTCCACTCGCTTCTCCCAGCTGGAAACACCGCAGACAGGACGGCATTACTGACAGTAATTGCCACCCCCCGTACAGACCCTCCGCTCGCCCCGACACCCACCCGCTCACACACTACCACCTTAGCTGACTGTCCGTTAGCACGGCTGGCTAACCCGTTGGTACGTGCTAGTTGGGGTGCTCCGCAGATGCTTGTGGTTTTCCCCAGGGCTCAGCCTAGCAAACTGGTAGCTTCCAGAGTGCTCCAGTGCATGGCTGCAAAGAAAGGGAGGCAGATCTCCCTGCTCCCAGCCGTGGGATGAGCCCACACGGTCTGTGATCTCACAGCGCAGTTCACGACAGCAAATCAAACCCGCGCTGCCGTCATCACACAGAGCCTGACCGCTCAACCCTGGGCCGCGGAAGCAGCATTCGTAATGAGCCTTGGGTGGTGCTCCTAGTGCAGGGGGTCCCCCAAGGGGCACTGGAGAGAGAACTGGAGGGCAACACGTGGATGGAACAAACATGGCAGGTCAGAGGGATGGAGGATGATGGAGATGTTTAAAAGCCAAAGAAAGAATGTAAAGCTCCCTTGCTAGCAGAGAAATGGTGCCCTTGCTGCTGGGTCCAAGGCACCAGAAGATGTTAGATGCTGTTCTGCTTTCCAAGCTCCTAGATACTGTCTGTGGTTACCCCATGAGGGGTTCAGCCTGGGGCAGCACCCAGTCTCATGGCTGACAATGATTCTTGGCCACGACTTACCATGGTTACTTGGTAACTCAGAGACCAGGAATGTCAGTGGAACATACCTACCTTCCTTCCTAGGAAATGAACCTTCACAACTGTCAGATGGGCAGCCAGGCCATCCGCCAGTCTTACAGCCCTTCATGGGCCACTCACAGCCAGGCCATCACCCAGCCTACCAAGGAATAGGAGGAGGTCCCTGTCAACAGGGCCACAAAGCCATGGGGAAGGATTATCCCAAGGTGCTAGAGAAGCCCCATGAAGAAAAAACTCTTCTCAGGCTGAAAGGGACGGCGTGTGTCCTAGACACACAAGTTCTCTTACTGCGAGGGCCTTAGGGGTGAGCGTTCAAGCCCATCCCGGCTGGCACCAAAGCAGACCCAGAGAACCACTAGAACTGAGGCTTCAAGGCCGGAGACTCAGCTTCCATTCCTGCTGCTAGACCCAAGGGAGAGCAATTACTCAGTCCTGCCGGGGGAGAATAGACACTCAGTGGCCAGGAGTGCAGCCCCGCTGCCGAGAGGGCTGCCCCACCCCAGGCACAGGCTGCCCCGAAAGTCTTGAGAGGCTGGTGATGAGAGAGGCGCTGGTGGAGCCTTTGGAGCCAGACTCAGTGAGCAGCAAGGCCCAAGCAGATGGTGGCGTTTCTGTGCCTTGCAGAGCTGGCTCGCACAGCGTCCCACTGGTACCGAGCTTCTCGCCGTGCTGCTTTGGAGCAGCTGGGAGTGGAACAAACCCCTCCCCGTGGGGTGTCAGAGACGGGCCCCAGGGGTTATGGTACCCCCACCTGCCACTGCAGCGGGTTGCTTAGTTGCCTCCGACACCCGCAGGACAGAAGCCGTCTGAGGTGCCGGGATGAGCAGAGGGCACAGTGCATTCACAGAGGATGCGCTATGGGCTAGGCTTTGGCTCGCGGCAGCATTTCAGGGGTTACTGGTCTCCAAACTCACAGGCAAGAAAGGAGTCCAGAGCCGTTCTGGGGGAATTGGATTACAAGAGCTGTGGTGGTCGAGCGTGTCCCGGCAGGACCAAGACTTTGCACTGAGTCCTACCACTGCAATCTCATTTCAAACACTGCTTCTCCTCCCCGCTGAGGGGCCAGTGCTGCTG